TGAGATTAATGAACTATTAGGTCAGTTGAGGCTTTTCTTGCCATTCTGAAGACTAAGTTTATCAAGTAAACTTCAGAGGAATTTCTAGGTCATGTGATGAGATTTCCAGGTCAGATGAAAGCAAATACAATCAAATGGCCTCCAGGTTCACTTTCAATGTTTCTATTTCCTTCTAAATATCTTCATTCTAAAGTTTAAAAAGCCAATATTATTTTTTCTCTATCCATTTGTTTTTGCCAAGTTTTTTTTCACCTACGGGGCTAAAAGCAAAGCATTTTTCTTTTCTATATCTTTCCTGGTAGGTTACGTCAACCAAGGCAGTGGAACGGTAGCTTATACTTAGTTAGCTCAAATATTAAATTTTCTTATTTTTTTTAATATTCTGTCCCCAACCTTTTCTCCAGTTTATTCCCATTAATTATTTATCTTTGAATAATTAAACCTGAAAACTTAAGTTCACAAAAGAGTTGATGATTATTATTTTAAGGTCCAAGTAAAGAGCACTTTTGATAAATGCTTTTATTGATTTTTTTTTTTAATCTAGAGGGAGAGGGAGATAGAGAGAGAGACCCACTGGTTGCCTGACTGGGAATTGAACCCATGACTTTGTGGTGCATGGGACAATTCTTCACCAACTGAGCCACACAGACCAAGGCAAGAGCACTTTCTATCCCAATTAGGTCATCCACATATTTACTTACAACCTAACTGTATAATATTATACAAATGTTTTTTTCAATTTCTTTATTTACCACCAATTTATGTATAAGTTAATCAGATGTAAGCTGTTTATGTCTGTACATTGAGAAATAAAAGATCTTGAGAAGTAATCTTAAAATTCTATTTTCTCTCAGCAACCTCCAGTCCTTGAGAAACAGAGACTCGTGGTAGGTTGCTATTTACTCCAAAGTATGTCCTTTTCATTACTCCATCTTAAAATTGTTTTAAAAATTATTGTTTTGTTTTATGATTTTATAGTGAAAACCAAAAACCATCAAAACTTCTCTGCTTGCCTCCTGAACCTTTTATATTCTTGAATTCAATGTGGGTGAAGTATCTCGCTCATAGCCAAGTGCAGTAGACATTTTTCTAATGGTTAGTTTCTGGTAATAACTGATAGAGTAGCCAGCTTTTTAAAAATTGCTTTACGTTTTCTGGTCGGGTGGCCCAGTTGGTTGGGGCATTTTCCTGAACACCAAATGGTGGCAGATTCCCACTGGGGTATAGCAGGAAGGCAACTGATCAATGTTTTCTCTCTCATTAATGTCTCTCTCCATCTAAAATCAATAAAAAATAAAATTAAATTGCTCTAAGGATGAATATTTTTGTCTACTAACTTGAATATTTAGAACACCTGGTAAAACTCACAAGGAGTAATGATCAGTATAAGCAGGTTGGAGAGGGAGCTGAACTTAAAACATTTAGTAGGAGAACAAACAATCAAGATTTACCATTGGCGCCAAAACCGGTTTGGCTCAGTAGTAGACCGTCAGTCTGTGGACTGAGGGGTCCCAGGTTTGATTCCCATCAAGGGCATGTACATTGGTTGCGGGCACATACCCGGTAGGGGGTGTGGAAGAGGCAGCTGGTCGAACTCTCTCACTCATTGACGTTTTTAGCTCTCTATCTCTCTCCCTTCCTCTCTGTAAAAAATCAATAAAATATATTTTTTTAAAAAAAAAGATTTACCATTGGCTTATACAGACTCGGTCAGTTAATAATGGCAGGAAAAGTTGTATTTGTATGCATATGTTACCGAGCAGAAAGAGTTCGTCCACAGAGCGCTAGCAGAGCCAAGCACTAGACAATGAGAATCGCAGTGGAGAGATATTGGCTATTTTCTTATGAATGGTAAGCTAATGTGCAATGCTGGAAGATCCTGATGGCTGGTGAGTAGGTAACAGATTATAGAGGGCAAAACTGCAGGACACCATGGCTTAGGGTTTCAGGGCGCTGCTGCAAGCTGATTGGGGAGGTAAGGGTAATTCATTCCTTCAGATCTTGGGGATAGCTCTGAGGTCTTGTCCTATAGCCCTTTGTCTGGTCTCAGGAGGAGGTAGCCAGGGGTTGCTTCACCTTAGATCTGAGGACCTGAAACAGAACTTAGGTCAAGATGCTCTCTTTAGCCTGCCAGAGGTTCAGACCTTGTGATTATTAGTAAGGTCCTGGCTATTGTCTGCTGCCTCTGAGTTTGCTGGTTATCTAGGGGAAAGGCTAGATCTCCTAGGAATATCTATCTATCTTCTATCTATCTATCTATATATCTATCTGTCTGTCTGTCTGCCTGTCTGTCTATCTATCTATCTATAGTGATTTCTAGAGCTAGGGTTCAATGGTAAATTTAATCATAGTCATAAGGACCCTCAATTTCACAAACAGTTATTCCTGTATGCAAACCAATATAAATCTACCAGTGCCAATCTTACAGAAATGGAACATAAGAGAGTACATCATAGCTGAAAAGAGATAAGCATTACTTTCAGGTCATGTTGAAAGAGCGCAATGAACTGGAAAAGACTCTTCAAAATGACTACCTCTTAAAAATATAGACAAAAAATGAAGAAAGGCAAATGTATTTTTTCCTAATGTGTTATTCTTTGAGTGTGGAAGAGCGCGGTGTATATCCTTAGAAGAATGTCAATTGCTTGGTTTTGAAAAACTTCACAGAGTTCCATTTGAAACTCAAAGGTATGTCTTATGAATTGAGTTTAAAAGAACTTGAAAGAGTTCCAATAACTTTCCAAGATGAGAAACATACCGATTTTTTAACATCTAATAAGATTTTCAACCCATCCAACAGGTGTGTTTTAAAAAACTTATTTCCCTGCAAACATATTAATTGGTTAGAACACTTTTTTACTCTTCTTTTTTTCCCTAGTATGTATAACATAAAATTAGTGATTGGGAATTTAAGAGTACCATCAAATACTGGGGATTTAGTTATCTTGCTCTTTAGTCTTATTTCAACTTTGATTAAATAAGAGTTTGAGAGTGTGTGTGTGTGTGTGTGTGTGTGTGTGTGTGTGTGTGTGTTTTTTCCCCTCTGAGTTAGCTAACTCTATTTAGACTCTGACCCATGTAAATTCATAATGAGTTACATAGAATTTATTAGCTCTTCAGTGAATGCAGTGAAAGACTATGAAAGTTTCAGACAAATGGATATGGAAGCACTATCTTTCTTAAAATGGAAGCACTGTGGAGATGAATAGAGATGGCCTTGGGGGCCAAGTGAGTCGAGTTCTGCTTTTAGGCTACATCTCCCCGCCATAGAAAGTGGACACCAACCCATGTTTCCCTGAGAGTGCTGGAAGGAGCTTGTGTCTCTCAGCTCCTGGTGGGCCTAATTAGTAAGGATCCCTTTCCCCTGCAAATGGCAGTGTCCGCAATAAAGTCTTTCCTCGTGGGCAACGTGTCAGACTTATCGTCAAAAGCCTCCAAGCCTGGTTGTGAGTGGAGGATCTTACATAAAATCATGAAGGTAACTGGAATTACTTCCTCTTTTGTGAGTTGAAAATGTATACTTAGTTATGTTTTTCTTGGGCTGGTATAGGAACACTCCCCAGTGTGCAAGGAAGTGGGCAGCAAATACAGATCTGCTGACATGGATGGAGGAGGTCATCGTCTATGGAAATACCTTGTGCAGCGCTTTTCGGAATCTCAAATAATAAAACAACACCCGTGACTTTTCCTTATGATCTCTTAAGATACCATATAAATTCAAGAGATTCTGACAACCTAAGGCAGAAAGTTAAGGCTAAAAGTTTAAACTACAAACATTTCTTAGGTTGAATATAAGACTAAAATAAAAGATAAGGATAGTTAGGCCTTGATTATTCACAAATTGCCTAGAATTTGTGATTATCAATGCCTTTTGATTCTCCTCCTACCAACCACTAACCATTTAATATTTCTCTGCTCATTAACACTGGACTAGAAGTAGAAAGATGAAATATTAATCAGCCAGTCTGGCTAATTGTTAGCAACTATGATCATTAATTTATTTTATTTTTCTTGAAGTTGAGGTAGGGAAAAGCTGAAATATTTTACTAAATAGATTTCTAAATTTTGTGTCATCTTCCCTTTCTTTTATTACATACATAAATTCAGGTACTTTGTTTTAATAAATATTAAAGTGAACAAAAAAATTGAGTAATTCATCTGTTCTCAAATATTAATATAAGTTCATATTACATATTTCTTATTGACTAGTGTTTGGATAGTCTTAGTCTCCTACAAGGAAGCTTCAGAATTTAATAGTTGCAACTTTAAGTGTAGCCCTATATAAATAACTGCACTTGCTCAGTGCATTAAACTAATAGGGAATCCAGGTGGAGAAAATGACTTAAGACTACCCTCCCCTTTGCCTCTGCTAGACATTGCAGGACCCTCCCCACACCAAATAAGGGGAAGAAGAATGTTCTGAGCATTAAGGGCACTAAGAATAAATCTGAGTTATCATGGATAAGATTACTTTATTTCATGTTTTCAGATGTAGACCCCAAGAACTGTAATTATCTTAGGAAAACTGTGAGGGATTACGCAATATTTTTTAGTCCCCTTTTCCTTCTTCCATTATTTCTTTATTATTTTTTTTTTTATTGCCTATCTCTATTTGGGGCTGGGGAGCTGGTGTGTGTGTGTGTGTGTGTGTGTGTGTGTGTGTGTGTGTGTGTGTGTGTTTCCCAGTGCCAAAAAAAAAAAAAAAAAAAACAGTACTGACTAGTCCTAGGGAGATGAGGCTATTTTTATTCGAAGCTGATACTCCTGCCTGAGCCACAAGTGCTGCTTGGAAAGGGCTCAGGTTGTTTCCAGGGGGAGAACTCTGCAGAGAAGAGACAAGTTCAAGAAGACAACAAAGGAGCAGCAGGAACAGCCAGGAAAACCAAGAGCCCTCACTCTTCACCCAGAACGCCCCCAGCAGAGTTCTCGATTCTGAAAGTATTCTGCAAAGTGCCACTAGACCAGGACTTTTGGCCTGCCTTCTCCTCTCTGGAACCACCATGACTGAGATCACTGCTGAAGGTACCGCTACCATTTTCCAATAGTATCAACTAGAATACCAAATAGAAATTGACAGTCAATGTGCCGACTTAAAATGTTGTTTTTAGTTTATTGTTTTGATCAGGTGACACCATACAGGATCAGAGAAGTAGATTTGGGAGCTGAGAGGCAGGCAGATCTGTGTGTTGGGGGACTGGGAAGAGGTTTCTCGGAAATTTTGCATGTGGAAACTTTTCTGCTGTGCCAAAGGCCCCACTAGTTACTAGTGTCACCCACACCTCTATAAATAGCCGTGGCCATGTAACATAGCTGATATGTCACCTAGCAAAAATACAAGGCTTGCAAGCATGGAGACCACAATGAACTTAAAACATTGTATTTTGTGTTTCAACTTAGAAAAATGAATTTGAGCATTTTGCTTATAGCTATTTTAAAATAGAGATCTTAATTTACTTTTCATTTCTAACTGGAGTATATAAATGCACATACTTACAGATTTGTATACTACTTAAGACATACGTTTTCCTTCAAAATTTTTTTTATATTTTACTAGAGACAAGGTTTGGAATTACAGAAAATCACTACAGATCAATGTGATTTCCAAAATAAAGCAATTTAAAAACTGGCTGTATTCTGATTCTTTTTAGTCACTTATGTTTTTCCCCCCACCCCTGAATGATTAATTCTATCTTTATATTAAAACAAATATTTCATTTCAATACTTATTCTGAAAAAGTGCATACTACAAGTAAGGCATATAATGATGAATTATTTTACCATGCTAATAATTGTTTTACATATGTATTATATGTAAAATGTATGTTTAGATGTAAATATACAAATGTCTTTTTATATCTTAAGATAAAAAGTCCCTTTAAAACAACTAAAGCATGTTGAACACACAAACACAATCCGGTTCTAGTTGGTGTAAAAATTTGGGAGGTGGATCTAAAATTTGCTTCTGACAGCTGTAAGAAAATCAGACAGGTGGTGCTCTCAAAGCTTCCAAGTTTAATGCTGTGTTGGTTTGTTTTTAATCAGACAACTAAAAAATAGAACTTGAGGTTTTGGCTCTGTGGATAGACAGTTCGATGGACACACAGTGACTTCAGAGTTGGAGATTTTTCTGTATTGATAAGGAGAAATATCTTATCTGTACTTTCCATTGAGACATTTAGTCTGATACCCCAGATTATCAAAAACAATTGCTCAGGGCTTTAAACTTATTTAAACCTTACACAATTCAATGAAGTCAGCATATTATCTCTATTTGGCAGAAATAGAAACAGTAGCTCAGATGTTTGGTGACTTCTAGACCACAGTATTGCCAAGATTAGAAGCTCGTTCCCTGAAATCTAGTTTGTCTTTTCTCTTTTCTGTTAAAGAATATCAGGTTTACTCTTCACCCATTTTAGTTGAGAATTTGCTAACTGTATATAAACAGCATTTTTTTCCTCTTCCTTAGATATTCTGAGTCACACAGCCTTTGGTTGTCTTAAAGAGTGCTGTCTATAAAAACTTCTTGCTTAGCCCTGCACACGTTGCTAAGATACCTATGAATATATTTCTCTACCTCTGCACAGGACTGCCAGCTAAATCAGGAGGTCACTTGGCCAAAACATTTTTGGCTTGTCTGCAGATTATGCTCTGTAGACCTTTGCACTTAATTGATAAGACATTTTACAGGAGAATTCTTCAAGATGAAATAGAAGTTTTCTATGTTCTCCCTGTGGGAGAGTTTAAGTGTTCTTGGAAGACCTACTGGAGTTACCCATTAAAAAATCATTGAATTAGAAATAAATTAAAAATGCAAAAATGTCACCTAGTTCCTGGGTGATAGGTCATTGCCTACTCCCTGGCTTTAGCAGTTCATAGGACCTATGTCATCTGAACATCCATTATGTGCTCTTATCGTTTTCTGGAATGATTTATTAGTCATATTTCTCAAATAATAATTAGAATGCCACATCAGGGCTTCACTTTTAAGGTTAGCACTTCGGTCATTCTCAGTGGTGAGCTAAAGTTTCTTGCACACTATTTCTACCAGACACTTTTCTTCTTGTCTTCATGATTCTTGCCTTTTGCGTCTCATCTAGCCTTCTTTTGGAGGTGTGCTTTTCTACAGGGCCTTGGTACAACCTGAGATATTCTCTCCTCTCACCTGCTATATTTCTTTTGCACCACTTTTGGACACATTACTAAAATGTAAACACGCATTAGTAGCCTATGACATCTACTGATTACTCTTCTGATCCATTTATCACAGAGAAAGCAAGCACATCACAGTACTTAAGAAGGTCAGAGCTCAGTAGCCCCTTACAGAGTTCTAGTTCACTGTCCTCACCTCAAATTTTGAAAAACTGAGGTTCCTACAGCTATATGATTCTCCATGGTCTGAGGATATACTTCTCTCCTTTGGCATAGCCCAGAGCTTATTCAACCACAACGCAGGGCATGTCTCTAAACCTTGCCCAGTTCTTCCCGTAGATTTCCACTGCATGTTCCAAGCTGGATGACTTCATTTGACAAATGAAAGGAAGTAATGCAAGGTATGGAATTGTCTTTCAGGAACAGAGCAATAGAGTGACCAGAGCTAGGACCAAGTTGAACACTAAAGGATTTTAGGCAAACAACATCTTTTGATTCTGGCCTTGATAAATTAATAAAGATAATTATAATTACAATGATAACACTTCACATTTATTCAGAAGGGATATGTCAAGCACAGTGTTAAGCTCACTTTATGATCAATTAATCCTCAGAACAACCAAATGAGACAGAGACTTAATTATTGGTATTTATAGAATAGGAACCTGAGGTTTATAGAGGTTAGAAATTTGCCTGAATTCATACAGCGAGATATGATGAAGCTAGAATTCCCAACCACATCTCTGATCCCAAAGTCATGTTGAATGCTTCCTCTTGCTCTGTGATACTAATAATTAGCCTGGTATTAATTTGGAGGTTGATAGGGGCCTACACTAGGTCCCTGTTCTGGTTTGGCCAGTGCTACTTTGGATAGGTTAGAGCCAGCCACAGACTGGATCAGAGTCAAACAACACTAAGTTTTAACACTATAAATAACCTGTCTTCTTTGCAGAGGCTCACTTATTCCTAGACAAGTGCCAAAGTTAGTTTCCCTTCTGAGGTCCATATGAATTTTCAACTACCAATGTCAGCATCTATTTGACAGTATGCATCACTATGCAAAATATATTTTGAGTGTTTTGTTAATAAAATGACATTTAATTATTAATAAATTAAAAAGATGGAGATTTTTTTTTAAAAAGTTGAAAAAATATGTAATGTTTTCAAATTGCCAGTTAAGTAATACATAAACAAATTATTATTTACAGTAATATTTATATAATTGTGTTCGTTTGGTCTAAAGACCTCCAAAATAGCAAGAAATAAAATATTTACATAATGGATTTCTGTTGGTAGAAATCCTATATATATAATTAACTTAACATTACTAGAACACTTGGTTGAGAAAAATTCTTTTTTATAAAGTTATAAGTTATATCATTCAACTTCTAAACTACTATATAATTTCAGGATTCAGGAGAAGGGCTATTGTACTATGTATACAATTCTTTTCTTACTATTAGTTCAAGTGTATTTCACTGCATATTTCACTGCACAAACCTATGAGAGGGTTTTTATGTTACACAATGCACTGCTTTGACAGAACCTGTAGCACAGGAGGACCCATTGTTGCTCTCAAGGAAAAGATAAATAATTCATAGCTAAACTACTTAACAACTATGTACAGAAGTTATATCATTTACAGCAACAGATAGTAAAATTAAAAGAAGGAAGAGATCCAACTTACATATCTGTATTTATCTGACCAACACCAGGAGCAGCTACTCTGGCCTAAGTGGAGATGACTTGTGGGTGGGAGGAGGAGAAAGAGAATCAAGCACTAGGTTCAAGTTTAATTACCTCTCGGTATGTTCTCCTTTCTATGAAAAGCAATAGACCACAGGATATCATTTTTAGATGCAGGAACACGTTTTAAAGTCAAAATTAATAAGTTAGTATAGTTGGAGGAGAATCATGATGGTAAGAAGCACAGTTAAAGGAAAAGATGTGTATATAGGCCAATTAAATGCAAGGTTAGAATTCTTTTACTATTGTGTACCACTAGAGGAAAATGCCCATGGATAAAAGTCTGGAAACTACAATAAGGCAAGCTGTTAGCAAAATATAGGGCAAAACCTAACCAACCATTAAAATGATAGTGAGGACTAACAAAATCAAAAAAGGAGGCGAAAAGAAAAGAACAATAAAAAATATAGCTTTCAATGTTCAAGAAACAGAGAGATGCAGAATATGCTATAAACCATACCATAAAAGTCAAAAAAATCTAGAGTATGGGAATCCCTACAGTACAAACAACCCAGTTCCTTCAAATAAGTTATTAGGAACAAAAAAGAGATGCCAAAGAAGCTTATAGCATAAAAGTTTTAAAAATAGAGCAACCAATCACAATGTGTATGCTTATTGGGTCAGGATTCAAAAACCTTAAAAATTATAATGAAATAATTAGAAATTTGACACACTTGTATATTAGATATTAGTAAATATATTATATTTTAGTGTAATAAACATATCCTGGTTGTGCTTTAATACATACTTGAAGATCATATTAAAATATATACTGATAAGCTGATATAATGTTTGAAATGTACTTCTATATAATATGCAAGAGAGGAATATAGGCAGAATTGTGGGTATAGAATTAGCCAGGAGTTGATTATATTTTGACTGGTGATGAGTATTTGGGGTTTCATTACAATATTCTGTCTACTTTTGTGAATAGTCAAGACTCCCATAATAAAAAATTAGAAAGAAAAACAGAGCTAATGCTTTTAGTAAAGTAAATAAATTAATAGGAATACATTTTTGTAATACAAACACACACACACACACACACACACACACACACACACACACACCACACATTGGTAAGTGAATTCACTGATCACCAAATCCTATATAATAAAAGCCTAATA